AGTTTGCTCCAGCTGGGAACTTCTGGGTTTAGTTGGGGGGGGGGCAAAACCTGATACTTCCCCAGGAAAAAAAATGAGTGGTTTTCCCTGCTTCTGGCTTTATTGGCTTCTCTTAGAAGAGAAGACTCCCTGGAAAAGACCCTGATGTTGGGAAAGATTGAGGGCACAAGGAGAAGGGAACGACAGAGGACGAGATGGTTGGGCAGTGTTCTTGAAGCTACCAGAATGAGTTTGACCAAACTGCGGGAGGCAGTGGAAGACAGGAGTGCCTGGCGTGCTCTGGTCCATGGGGTCACAAAGAGTCGGACACAACTAAATGACTAAACAACAACAACAAAAGGTAAAGGGACCCCTGACCATTAGGTCCAGTCGTAGACGACTCTGGGGTTGCGGCGCTCATTTTGCTTTATTGGCCGAGGGAGCCGGCGTACAGCTTCCGGGTCATGTGGCCAGCATGAGTAAGCCGCTTCTGCCGAACCAGAGCAGTGCATGAAAACGCCGTTTACCTTCCCGCCGGAGCGGTATCTATTTATCTACTTGCACTTTGACGTGCTTTCGAACTGCTAGGTTGGCAAGAGCAGGGCTGAGCAACAGGAGCTTCGAATCGCCAACCTTCTGATCGGCAAGCCCTAGGCTCTGTGGTTTAACCCACAGCGCCACCCGAGTCCATTGGCTTCTCTTAGCCCCCCCCCCCAATCCTCTTGGCCAGCATAGCCAAACCTTTCTTGAGGTCTAGTAACTTGTTCTCTCCTGACTGAATGTGAGTGTCCTTCCCCATGAATTGGGCCCTTAGTTTGGTGGGGGGGGGAGGTAGAAGGGAGGAGGAAAGAAAGGTCAGCAGGTATCCTGGGATCCCCATTCTAGGGTATTTCCCCAAGCACCCCTAAATATACGGAGGGGGGTGGTGGATTTGTGTTGATACTGATACCTGAGATCTGGAATGCATATTTTGAAACTTAGACATTCAAGCTGCAGCTGAAACAAATTCCAGGGTTTATGGAAAGGTTTAATGAGTATTTCTGTAGTGGATAATTATACGGTAGATGGTTCTGAGAAAAAGTACTCCGAAAAAAGGATGTTTTAGGAAAATGTAATATTAAGAAAAGGTGGAGAGGCTGGGGGGAAGGAGAGTTTAATTTAAAGCAGATAAATGCAGTCAAGCTGTTAGCTGGGTTGGTTTTTTTGTCTTAAGTGCTGTCTATGCCGCCTGCATTCATCAAATGTGGCATGAAAACTTAGCTGCTGCTGTTTCAAAAAGGAGTCAATTTGTGCTGGTTTGTCAAAATCCTAGTACCGAGTGATGGGAATGGATAAAGCCATTAACTGGGGCTGATGGGAGTCGGAGCCTGAAACGCCAGGCTGCTGTGAGCTCACTAGGCAACTTGCCAGGGCTAGTGGCATGTGATCTATTCAGCCTTCCTTTGGCGTTGAAGAATTGCAGCTGCCTGTGGAGTCTGCATTAAGGAGCCCTGCCAGGGAGCTCCACAGAGCACTGACAAATGAACAAGTGAAGTTAGCAACATCCATACAAAATCAGCAGTCAACATGTGGTGGTAGAAGCGGGATAACCAGTGGAAGATTTCGGGATTGGGTAATGCTGTGGAGGAGGAGCTGGTGCTTTTCCTAGACAGAAAAGAAGTCTCCAGCCAGCATTAAACACTGGAGCCCATTAAACAGAATTGTAGAGTTGGAAGGACACCCACAAAGGGTAATTTGGACACCCCCTTGCAATGCAAGGATCACAGCTAAAGCATCCCTGACAGATGGCCATTTCATGGAGAGTGTCTATATGGACACTGGAATGTTTATCAACTTGGTTTAAGGGTCTAGGTCAGAGCTTTCCAAATTCTGTGCTGTGACACGTTAGTGTGTCGGCCGCAGTGTGTAGGTGTGTTGTGCAAACTCTCCTCCCGGGGCTGGAAAGGGGCACGTTTAACCTCTGGTTTGCTAATAAAACTGCATTACTGTTTTGCCAAATGAAGAAGAAGAAGAAGAGTTTGGATTTGATATCCCGCCTTTCACTCCCCTTCAGGAGTCTCAAAGCGGCTAACATTCTCCTTTCCCTTCCTCCCCCACAACAAACACTCTGTGAGGTGAGTGGGGCTGAGAGACTTCAGAGAAGTGTGACTGGCCCAAGGTCACCCAGCAGCTGCAGGTGGAGGAGCGGAGACGCGAACCCGGTTCCCCAGATTACGAGACTACCGCTCTTAACCACTAGACCACACTGGCTCTCAAATGACTTAAAATGTGTGTCACCAACATGAAAAGTTTGGAAAGCTCTGCTCTGGGTGCTTAAAGTGCCACAGGAACTACTGAGAGGCAGGAAGCTAATGATCCCAAACGCCAGGAGGGCCAAACAGGACCCACTTCCCCATTCTGCTGGCCACAGCACTGCCTTCAACTGAGTCCTGGGAGCCCGCTGCAGGTTGAGGCACCAGCATGGGATGCTCCCGGTGCCCTTTCCTTCCAGGAGATGCCAGCTGGAGTTGGCAGCATCTTGGCATTTGCTTGCTGCACTCTACGCTTGGCTCCTCAGCTCCCTGGGGTGTGGGGTCCCAGTTTGTCAACATGCTTCTTAAATTGTGGTGCCCAGAATGGAACACAAGACTCCAGGTGTGGTCTGACCAAGGCAGAATAGAGCGGGACTATGACTTCCCTTGATCAAGACACTAGACTTCTGTTGTTGCAGCCTAGAACAGCGTTAGCTTTCGTGTGTGTGCGCGCCAAACGGCAAAATACATATCTCCAAGTCACTGCAGCATCAGTTTATAACAGTTTTCCCCAACTTCATGCCCTCCAGATGGTTTGAACTACAGCTATGCTGGACGGCAGCAGATCAAGGAGCAAGAAGCGTGCCAGGAACCCACCACGTGCTCATCTTGTTGTTCCTTTCCTGAGCACCGGAGAGCAGCAGAGTTCTGCTCTGGGACACTTGAGTTTCCTGTTAGGGAATCCCAGCTCCTTCCCACAGAGAGAGTCATCCTTGACTCAAAGGGGAAACCTGCAGGGTCTTTGATGTGGGTTTGAAACCTGCGATCTTAATTTGTCTTAGCAAGAGTCTGAGAATTTCTGCTGTGGAGTTGTCCTTGGAGGGCTTCTATGGTTGTTCTTGGGGGTAGGGATCAGGAGGGTCTCCCACAGGCTTTCCTCTAATTATATTTAATTCTGAGTCATCTCTTTTTATTTATTTAAGGCAGGCAGGCAGTAAAGGGGAGGCAGGGGCCCCTCTCCTCTCCTCTCCTCCCACTCGGTTGCTGTGTCTGGCTGTGCCAAGAGCACCAGACCCTGTTGCCTGCAGAAGGCAAAGGGGCTCTTTGGGCAAGATGCGAGCAGGCAGCAGAGCAGGGCAGTGACTGGGGAGGGGTCTCTTGACATGAGGGTGTCACCTGTTGCAACCTGCATGCTTTCATTTCTACCAGATGTGGTGAATCTCACAGCCTCCTGGAGACGGAAGAGGCTCAAAGCTCCCATTGGAGCGAATCATAATAGCAGGGCTGTGTGGTGCATTTATATAGAAAGGCCAAATCACTAGGCACACAAGTCATCTCGGCAATTTGGACGGATAGAGGAGCAGGTGCAAGAAAGTAGGTGGAGAGAAAACTTCCTTTCTTTTTTAATACCATGGTACCTCGGGTTAAGTACTTAATTCGTTCCGGAGGTCTGTTCTTAACCTGAAACTGTTCTTAACCTGAAGCACCACTTTAGCTAAAGGGGCCTCCTGCTGCCGCCGCGCTGCCGGAGCACGATTTCTGTTCTCAACCTGAAGCACTATTTCCGGGTTAGTGGAGTCTGTAACCTGAACCATATGTAACCTGAGGTACCACTGTACTAGAATTCAGGGACATCTCAGGTTGGAAGATTCAGGAGAGACAAAACATAGGGCTTCCTCACACAGTGCAGAGTTCAGTGAAGGGGCTTCCAATCCCACTCGCATCAATTATGCTGTGGAAAAAATTAACAGGGCCATGTGCAATACCATGCAGCAAATTGGTGGGTTCTCTAATCCACATCCCGCCATCAGAGCTGATAGGGTTGACCTATTCCAGGAGGATGGAGTGCGCCTGGGTAATGACCTCTGGCTCTACGACTTGTGACAAGTCCTTGGGGACTGGGTAGACTGCAGGGTTTGATTGGTCCTCAGTTGTGGGACTTGGCAGTGAGGCTCCTTAGGGCCTCGGGTGGCGGTTTTTAGGCCTTGGCAAGGTATCCTTTAGTCTAACATCAAGTCAGAGGGATGCAACCATGCTCCCTCCCCATGTGGCGGCGCTTGCAGGGCCCGTTAAAGGGCAAAAACCGGGAGTCCCTGGCCCTAGAGCGGTGGCATGTAGGTCAAACTCCTGGGGCGAGGTTGGTGGAAGGGCATGCTGTGTAAGTTTGCGCTTTGCAGTCCCCTCTCACTGGGCCTCAACTGCCTGCATATCCTCAGCCAGGCGGGCTGAGAGGGTTACCTGCCAAGGCCTGTGCCACGTTTCCCACTTCTGAAGTTCAATAAAGTTGTGGCCAATTTGAACCCAAACTCTGGTCTCTTGTCTCATCATTTGGGGTAAAGGGGTAGGCACCACAGACAGGGTTTAGGGTGTGTGCCCGCAAACATAGGGCTTCCTCACAGAGTGCAGAGTTCAGTGAAGGAATTTGCTCTTGGATGATGCAGTGATGGCCTGAGAAGGAAAGCACTGTTTCCTTCTCGCATTCCTCTGGGCAGCGGAGCCCAGGGGCCTTGCATCTCTTGCATCGAGTCCTGGTTTAGTTCTCTGATCTACACACCTGTCTGTTCTTAGAGTCCTCTCCAAAGGGAGGCGTCACGCTCAGAGGGCAGCACTGCGATGACTCCGCACACAAAGTCGTCTCCTGGCTCTGTGCCACCCTTGAAGGGCATTTGGAGTTAATAATTAGCTGGCTAATGGGCAGAGACTTCTGCAGAAAGTGTCTGCTGGTCCACTGCTCCGGGGACCAAAACGTCTTGGTTACTGGTGGCCCTTGGAGAAGACAGAGAGACCAGAGGAAGTGGGATGTAGCTCAATGGTAGAGCATTTGCTTTGCAGGCAGAAGGTCCTTGATTCAATATCTGCTGCTGTCTTCTCCAGGGAGGGATCACTGCCTCAGGTCCTAGGCAGCTGCTGTCAGTCAATATGGCAGAGGAAACCTGTGGCCCTCCAGCTGTTGTTGAACTCCAACCCCCATCAGTGCCAGACAACACGGCCAGTGGTTGTTGGGAGTTGTAGTTGAGCAAAATCTGGAGTGCCTTTATTTCCAGGTACAGTCGATGCCGAGCTAGCAGGACCAAAGCTCCGGTTCGGAATAAGGCGGATTCCAACATCGTGTGTTTGCATTTTGCTTCCCTCTGCAAGATCCGGCTTGGCTCACCCACAAGAGTCACTGGCGACCATTTGCTCACCTCTGCGGGAGGGCAGATCTCCACATGGGATGGGGATAGCCAGTGGAGACAGGCCTGCTTGTTGGCTGGTGAGTTGGGTTGACACCTGCCTGCCCCATCCCTTCCAGATCTCCAAGCCAAGGTCTGCTCATGAGCCACAAACACAGCAGGGGACAATTATTTGCCTGAGCTGCAAAGGGCCCTTTGGGGCAAGACAGCATTTCCAGCTGGGCAAAGATTCCCTGCCTCAAACCCTGAAGAGCTGTTGCCAGTCAGTGTAGACGTTACTGAGACAGGCGCGCCAAGAGTCTGAGATAGGGTAGCTTTCTGGATTCACCGGTTCTCCTTAGGCAAAGCAGCTTTCTCATAGACTCCCAGGGTGGAAATAGATCTTTGAGCTCCTCTAGCCGCCTGGCAGCTGTCCAAGGCCTCAGGAAGAGCAACCTCTTTCTCCTCCTTCTGCATGCCCAACAGGTGCCCCCATGGCCCCTCCTGAGCTCCCTCTCGGTGGGTTGAGGGAGCGGATGCTGCCGGAGTTTGAGGAGCCATGGACAATGGATGTTCCTGTGGCTCCTTGCCACGCATATTTTTGCAGCTGAGCAATCATCCCGCCTGTCCCCGTTGGGAATGAAACGTCGTCCGTTGGATGAGCGGCTTCCTTAAGCTTCCCATCCATCTTTGTTGCGTTTCTCTGCGAGATAATTGCAACAGTTGTTCTGGCTGACAAGTGGAAGGAATGTGGCAGACCCGCAGCGGTGGGGAGAGGGGAACCTTGACAGATACGCCTTTGATTTTCAACGGGAAGGCAAACAGTCCTGACTTTGATCTTGAACAAGGAGTTGGCTGCGGGCCAAAGCCCTCAGACTGGTCCTGTGAGAAACGAGGAGCCCAAACGGCCTCTCAGAACCATTTGTGCTTGTGCCCAGGAAGGGGAGAGCGGGTGAGAGAAGCTGCAAAGGGGCCCTCGCAGGGCAAGTGGTTTTTCAGATGACTTGTGCAAGCGAGCCAAGCTGCAGGAAGGGTGTGGTTACTGTCCAATATGACAAGGGAAAAAAGAAGAAGATATTCCTCTTGGAACCTTAAACAGACTGATCAGTCTGAGCAAAAACCCGTCCCTAAAACCCAACCTTAAGGAATTGCTTTGTTGAGCCATCAAGGTCTGTCTAGCCTAGCATTCTGTCTCCAACAGTGGACCATGATGTTCTCTAGGCAGCCCATGTGCAGATTGGGGAGAGGAGATATGCCCTTTCTCTATTAGTTATTATATACTGCCTCTGCACATTAAAGTTCTTCATTCTTCATTCTTGTTTGTTCATGTTGTTTATACTCTGCCTTTCTTCTGTGGAGCACCCGGCAGCACGAAGGAGGTTCTCATCACCCAACTGGGTTAACTTCAGAAAGGGGGTGGCATCTTCTGCCCTGGACCTCTCTGGCCAATTCATTTTTTAAAAGCCCTCCAAGCTTACCAGACATCACCAGATGTGGTGTCGTGAGTTCCACAAGAGAACCATACACTGATTCACACCAGAACTGAGCACATCTCCACTTTGCCCAACATTTGTGCCTCTCGTTGTGGTGCCTCCCCATGCCCCAGGTAGAAGGAGAGGGTGGGTGGAAAACTCTAGGATGCAAGTTGTGGCTGAGTGGTAGAGCAACTGCTTGGCATGTAGAAGCTCAGGGTGAGTCTTTGTTGCCTCCAGGTAAAGGGACCCCTGACCATTAGGTCCCGTCATGGCCGACTCTGGGGTTGCGGCGCTCAACTCGCTTTATTGGCCCAGGGAGCCGACGTACAGCTTCCAGGTCATGTGGCCAGCATGACTCAGCCACTTCTGGCAAACCAGAGCAGCGCATGGAAACGCCGTTTACCTTCCTGCCGGAGCGGTACCTATTTATCTACTTGCACTTTGAGGTGCTTTCGAACTGCTAGGTTGGCAGGAGCAGGGACCGAGCAACAGGAGCTCACCCCAGAGCCTAGGACTTGCTGATCAGAAGGTCGGCGGTTCGAATCCCCGCGACGGGGTTGCGAGATGAGCGCAACCCCAGAGTCGGTCACGACTGGACCTAATGGTCAGGGGTCCCTTTACCTTTTATATAACGTGCAGCATGTAAGAAGTGGCGGGTGGTAGTGGAAATAGACCCATTGTTAGAAGACCCTTAGCTAGAAGGAGGCAACCTTGTTTAATTTTGTCAAACCTTCCACACTTGCTCCTCTTGCATATTTAAAAATGACATGGAAAAAGAAAGCAGTCCCACACTTGGGGGAAAAAATCTGAGTTGGCATAAGGCAGTTTCATTTCTTCCACCTGCCTGTCCTCCACTCTGGCTTGGATTTGTGTCCTGTCAAGGCCTAGAAGGACACAGCAAGAGACTCTCTTCCAGGGGTGCAAGAGCTTATCAGGAAGGGCAGGAAGCCGGTCCTTTTACCATCGGTGTGTTTCCCACGGGGAGACACGTATTCACAGTGGTATTTCTAGCTCAGAGCCAACTTGCCACCCACCCTTCTGCAAATAGCTGTTCCCAGCCTGGTCAGTCTCACTCTCTGGGACACACCTGTCCCAACAAAAGGCCCGGAAGAGACATGGATGTGGCAAGAGCTTAATTTCCTTGGGGCTCAGTAGGGTGTGTGTATTTTTCCCCCTTCCTTGTGCTAGGAAGCTCAGTCTCTCTCTCTCTCTCTCTCCCTCACCCAAGCCCCTCTGTTCCCAACTAGGCAGGTAAGTTCTCATCTGTGCAAATATCTGCTGAGAAAGACCAGGGGGCCAAGATGGTATCTTGACAGGTGACATTTGCAAGCTCCTGGGCCAAAGTTCGGGAAAGAAAAGTGGCCGGGGTGCTCAGCCCCACAGCCCCACACTTGGAGACCTGCTTTGGGTGTGATTTCTGACTGAGGAGGAAGAGGGGCAAGATCTCTTCCTGACCCCCTCTTTCCTTGTGGGGAAAATATTTTTTGACTTCTTTCTTTCTTTCTTTCTGATGCACAGCTAAATCTAAGTGGCAATGTATTTGGGTGGGTGCATTAATAATAATAATAATAATAATAATAATAATAATAATAATAATAAATTTATTTATACCCTGCCCATCTGGCTGGGTTTCCCCAGCCACTCTGGGCAGCTTCCAACTGAATACAGTAGTACCTCGGGTTAAGTACTTAATTCGTTCCGGAGGTCCATACTTAACTTGAAATTGTTCTTAACCTGAAGCACCACTTTAGCTAATGGGGCCTCCTGCTGCCGCCGCGCCGCCAGAGCATGATTTCTGTTCTCATCCTGAAGCAAAGTTCTTAACCCGAGGTACTATTTCTGGGTTAGCGGAGTCTGTAACCTGAAGCGTATGTAACCTGAAGCGTATGTAACCCGAGGTACCACTGTATTAAAAACAATACAGCACCAGACATTAAAAACTTCCCTAAACAGGGCCACCTTCAGTTGTCTTTTAAAAGTAAAATAGATGTTTATTGCCTTGACATCTTCAGAAGCCGCACACAAAAGCAGAACGGTTGGCTCAAGCACTCTGTTTGGAACTTTATCGTTCAGTTCATGTCCTGCTCTTCCTGCCGAAGGACTTGCACTGGGTTGCCCATGTGAGGGAGGAACCAGCGGCAGAGCCTAGTCAAAGTCTGCCTACTGGTCCAAAATATCCAGCTACCTAGCGCTCCTCTTGTGACTTTAAGAGAAATCAGAGAGTGAGGCACCAAGTGAAGATGTTTTGCCTGCTACCACTAGCATCAACACCAATGCAAAACATTTTGGTGCTTGCAAATGCACCAAAATCTTTTGTGGATGGGCCTGCCTGGTCAAGTTATTTTGGCACCTGACTCAGAAAATCCCACAAACGCTTAATTTCCTCACCGTGGGCATTACAAATGTAATGATAATAAATTAAGTATTTAACGATTGCCTACCTGCTTATGAATCCCACAATGGGTTGCCTGCAGCCACAGCCTCAATTCTGTCCACCAGGAGAACTGACTCCGGGCAGTCAGCTGAGTTGTCGCCCTCCTGGAGGAACACGGCCGGGGCAATTGTGTCCCATAGCAGCAGCTGAGCTCTCCAAAAGTCAGGCCAAACATTATAGCAAGCAACTGTTAGTTTGAGGAAAAAATAGCTGTAAGGGGAGCATTTCTGGAATCCAAGATCCAAGTTTGGAGCGAGTACTTTTTGGTGAGAGCTCTGGCAGAGATTTAAAATCACAAAATATACAGCAAAGTAAAGCATGGAAATATACACTGTTAGACCTTTCAGATATGCCCTTGTGAGTTCCTTCAAAAGTTCCCCTCTTTCCTTGGTGTAGAAAAAGAGCACATGTTTGGTGAGTTAAAAATGGTTTACTTACAAACTCTCCAAAGGTCAGGTTCATGTGCTTTTCCGTTTGCACAGGCAGTAAAACTTGGCTTAGTTACAATGGTGAAAGTTCCTAAATGATTGGCATAGGAATTCTAGAGAGGCTTGTGAGAGCCATGCGGTCTGAGCTTAGAGCAACCAGCTCAGACCTAGGGGTGGATTTAGGGGAGCACGACCAGTTCGGCACTGCAACCATGATGTAGAATGGAAGGCAAGAGAAGGGCGGTGAAATATACTCAGAGTCGAGTGTGGATTTCATGCTCTTTATTCAGCTCATAGTAGCGAGGAATGAAAGTTCCCCCACAATATCTGCTTTATATACATTATTTAAACAATGGGCCACACGTGATTGGCTAATTCCAGGAT